TCACAGACATGACTTTAAATCAAAACTTCAATCTTGATCTTAATCAATCTTGTTTTTTACAGTTCCTGGAGTGGCATGCATGGCCAACACTTAAAGGAGGCACAACTGTCATATTTGGAATATCAAACTATTCATGAACCAAACTTTGCATTTTATTTGAAATTTCGTGTTTCAAATGTGTGTCACCTTGTGTGTTGATACACGAAATTCAAGGTGCTTGAAGACCAGTGTGAAGTTTAGGTAGTCTGTTTTGTGGTTTGCATGTCATCTTGCTAGCATTGGTGGGAGTTGGTCCACTGTGTTTTCTCGAATCTAAGGCCATCGCAGCTGTCCACCAGGAGATTATAGAGCTCTCCATGCTTCAGTCTACTGACAAGCTTTATAGAGATGCAGATTTCCTTTCCAGCAGGGCTTTCCACCTTCTCATAGTGCCAAAACTATTACCAAATGGTTTGCCGGTCATTTTATCATTGTGCTTGATTGACCATCCAATTTGTCTGACCGGAATCTCGTACACCAGGGGTGGAAAATTAATTTTCCCAAGGGGTACATGGGAAACTGGCAGTACTGTGGACAGCTTTTTCAACATACTGAATGGAATTGCAACTTAACATTAATTTGATTTCTTTACCCTAACACATGTACATAGAATTAAAACGACAACTGCTTGGATCACATGGTGTACAAATTTTCCATATAAAACTGAATATTCATCCTGGTACACCCCAGGAGTGGTTACATGCCTGCCACAACAGCTTTAGAAAGGTCTCAGAAAGATCTCCGTGCATTAGTTGGAGCTTATTGGTTAAAGAGGACCAAATCAAATGAATTGTTAAAGCGACTTTAAAAAAAAAAAAAAAATCACAAGTTTAACATCTTTATTTGGATGATTCAATGCAATTGTTATAGAAAATATAGAATCAAAAAAAGCAACAAAAGAGTTACAATAGAATGACAAACTATTCCATTTTTCAGTTTACTGTTGTATGAAAACACAGCACATTAATTAAATCAGCACAAATTTCTGTCTGGAATAATTAGAAAATGTAAGGCTTATTGAAGTGACTTTTATCTGGTTGGGAATCATTGGTCTGGAACTGCTCTTGCTGTTTTAATGCTTGTTTCAGAGATTGTTGCTACTGTCAGCAACAGGGGAGACTGTTGTTTCTATCTCAATAATCTCAACCACAAGTTCTCTGATGCAAGCCACGCTGTCCGAAGGTAGCTCATTAGCACTCTCTACTGGTGTATCCTCTTCTTTTTTTTCTTCTGTAGAATCTCCTTTCTCTGTGACTGCTTCATCTTCATCCTTTTTATTTTCAATCCTGAGTTCACTGCTTGGCACTTCTTCCTCCATCATCTCTTTATTCTTTTTCTGCTCTGTGTTTAAGGCAGTGGTGGTCTCCACTGGTGATCCAGATGAGCTGTCATCAGCAGGCTCACCTCCTGTTTGGATCTCCATCTGCCCCTCACCTGTTTCTTCCTCTGTTACCTCTTCTTTCTCTCTCTGTTCTTCCCGTGCTTGAATTGTCTCACGCCCCTCAATTTCTGCTTCATCTTTGTGTTTCTCCTCTTTTACTCTCTCCACCTCCCAATTGTCTTTAAGTTCTCCTGTCAAATAGACTGCTCTGTCAGTGGTCTGCTGTCCCATCATTGGCATAACAGAAGGTTCTGAGGAACTGCAAGCAATTGCCTCACTTAGTGATCCGAGGCTGATTTGTACTGGACTATTTGCATCAGGTGGGTGTGATGGTAAGGCAGGCTGGATGGAAGAATCCTCTTCTGATGGCTGATTTGAGACTGAAAGGTCAGGCATAGCAGGTTCACTTTGAACTTGGATCTCTGTTGTCTGAGGTGAGACCAGAGGGGACGACTCCAGAGAGTCTGGGATGGTCGGTCCTTGTTCAGCAGATAACTTGGGTGCATTGACTTCATATGTAACATTTGCATGTGTGTCTGATCTGTTTGCTATTGTTGGCTCTGTTGCTGTAGAAGATGCATCAGTTGTGATCTGAACTTCTATGGTTTCCTTCAGGAACAGGTCCTCTTTGCTGCCAGTTTCATCCAACTGTTGTGTCACGATAATAACTGGAGAAAGAAGCACTGTGCTCTGGTCACATTCACTATCAGTGTTACCTTCTGTCTTCCTCTGGGGGCAAACATCAACTGTCTGACTTTTTTCTTCCACTGCAGAAATAGTTTCTTGATCATCAGTGGGCATGGCCGAGGAGGACCGTCGGGCATGAACAGATGGGCTGTCTGGTGCAGAGTTTGGAGGCGTCTGTCCCAGCAAACTGTACTGACTAATTGCAAGATCTGAAGTGTCCAACAGGAGATTGTTGCTTTTCTTACTAGCTGCATCCTGGACAGCTGATAATGAGGAAGAGACAAAATCATAATTTATGTTTGGACCAAACAGGAATGTTCCAGTTTATATTCAGTATTTGTCACAGGTTTCATTATAGGACAGAGCACTTCATTCTGTCAGCTGCCTAATGGATGTCCAGGTTTTCAGAACCTTTTTTTTTTTTTTTTTTTTTTACACGGGAATTTTCTACACGGAGTAGAAAATTCATTATTGTCAGGCTGTCCTAAAAACACCTTTAAAAGCCTTCAGTCAATCCAAAATGCTGCCGCAGGAGTACTGACAAGGGACTACAAATCTAGCGTGGTATAAGCCACCAAGTAACCACTGTGGGCCTCTTATGACTAGTACGAACTTTCAGACCAAAAACAACTCTCACAGGATCGAATCCAGAATAAACAGGACAAGAGGGTCAATATCAGTAAAAGATGTTCAACAATTTATTAACATGACAAGACACCAAAGTTTTGAGAAAAAGAAAAAAACCTAAAACATCGCTACAACAAAAAAATAGTAGCGGTGCAACCTTGCCAGCAACGAAGCTATCACCTGAGGGTTTGTTCCTCCTTGGCGGTCCCAGGTGCTCGTCACTCTAAAAGAGACAAATCCACCTCAAACATAAAAAGGCCCAACCGAACACTTATAGCATCCACTAAGTGCTAGTTCAGGCAATAGACGGTGGTAATACAAAAGCACTCTTAATAAACCTTAATCACGGCAAATCCACACACAGAGCACCACTAAAAAATCCTCATTCCCCCGAGGTATGAGCCCCACTCAGGGATTGCAAGTTGCCCGCTTAGTATTGCACCAACCCAATAAAAATAAACAAAACAACAAAAATAATTAAAAACGGTGACCTGCTAAACCCAACAAAACACAACCATACAGAGAAGGAGGAAAAAAACTGTGACAAGGTCGCATGTGCAGCCTGCCCTCGAGTAGGCAACTGTATTTGCTGCACACCTGATTTGTCTTGGCCTTTTCTTCCACAGAAATCACTACTTGAACCTCATCTATAGAGGTTTAAAACCACAGTTTGCGTCGTAGGCGATTAAACTTCTCGGCTCTTCACCTACTCACGCATCCATTACTCACAGCCGCTTGTCGGTGGGAATCGTCAGCACCTGTTACTACGCCCTCTTTTATGCCCTCCATTGAGTCCCCTGGGTCCTAAAGCCTTCCCCATTACACAAAGAAAGAGCATATTTTTCTCATCCTGGATTCTGTTCAATGCCTCCCTGTTAAATCCAGAATTGAATTTAAAAACCTTTTTATCACGTAAAAGGTCTTGAAGAACCGGCCCCATCTTATCTTAAAAACCTCATAGTTATCGTATCACACCAACAGAGCACTTTGTTCTCAGACTGCTGGCTTAATTGTGATTCCTAGGGTGTTTAAAAGTAGAATGGGAGGGAGAGCCTTCTTTTGGGCCCCTCTTCTATGGAACCAGCTTCCAGTTTGGATTGGAGAGACAGACACCCTCTTGTAAAGATCAGGCTTAGGTCTAAGCTGCGGGAGGGGGCTTCCCTTGATGCACTGGGGAGAGTGTTTTTTTAGAGTCTTCACTAACCTTTTTCTCACTATGTCTTTATACAGGTTTCTGCATTCAAATATTAGTCATAATTAATCTCTGGCTCTCTTCCTGTCTTCCTCCCCACACCCCCACCCGGTCGCAGCAAATGGCTGCTCCTCAATGAGTTTGATTCTGCTGTTTTTCCTTCCCACTGTCACCAAAGCGCTTGTTCATAGGGGGGGTAATATGATTTTTGTTGGGATTCTCTGTATTATTAAGTCTTTACTTTACTTTACTTTACTATACAATATAAAGCACCTTGAGGCAACTGTTGTTGTGATTCAGTGCTATAGAAATAAAACTGAACTAAATTGAATGGAATTAGATATGAAGCACGTTTTTCCAAACCACTCAAATTGTAAGATATATATAAACAATAATAAATACAGAGAAAAACCCAACAATCATATGACCCCCTATGAGCAAGCACTTGGGCGACAGTGGGAAGGTAAACTCCCTTTAAACAGGAAGAAACCTCCGGCAGAACCAGGCTCAGGGAGGGGCGGGGCCATCTGCTGTGATTGGTTGGGGTGAGAGAAGGAAGACAGGATAAAAGACATGCTGTGAAGAGAGCCAGAGATTAATAACAAGTATGACTCAATACAGAGAGGTCTATTAACACATAGTGAATGAAGAAGAAATATTCAGTGCATCATGGGAATCCCCCATCAGCCTACATCTATTGCAGCATAACTAAGGGAGGATTCAGGGTCACCTGATTACTGTCTAACTATACGCTTTAGAAAAAGGAAAGTGTGGCAGGCGTGGTTGTGGCGCAGCTGGAGGAGAAGCCAACGCACTGGAGCTGCATCGGGTCATCACACCACCCTGCTTAAATACTACTGGGTCCTGAGTGTGGTTCTTGTTGTTGTCGGTATGTTAAGCTGGCTGTGGTGTGAATAGCAACGTGTGAGAGTTAATAAAGGATGCTTAAGAGCATAAAAATGTCACCAGGTCTGCTGTGTCTGCCGTGGTTTGTTACAGAAGGTTTTAAGCCTAATCATACAAGTACGATGTACTACTTTTTTACTATTTTTAAATCCTCTTGGAACCATAAGTAAGTTTGCAGTGCAAGAGCGAAGTACTCTAAAAGGGTGATATGGTCATTAAGATAAGATGGGGCCTTGTATGTGAGGAGCAGGATTTCAAATTTAATTCTGGATTTAACAGGGAGCCAATGAAGTGAAGCCAATATCGGAGAAATCTGCTCTCTCTTTCTAGTCCCTGTCAGGACTCTTGCTGCAGCATTTTGGATCGACTGAAGGCTTTTTAGGGAGTTTTTAGGACATCCTCATAATAATGAATTACAGTAGTCCAACCTAGAAGTAATAAATGCATGAACTAGTTTTTCAGCGTCACTCTGAGACTTGTGGAGACTTGTGGAAGAAAGCAGTCCTACATATTTGTTTAATATGTGCATTGAAGGACATATCCTGATCAACAATGACTCCAAGGTTCCTCACTGTGTTACTGGAGGCCAAGGTAATGCCATCCAGAGCAAGAATCTGATTAGATACCATATTTCTAAGGTTTTCTGGGCTGTGTACAATAACCTCAGTTTCAATTTAGAAGCAGAAAATGAGTTCTCTGTGCCTGATGAATGGGCTTGGATGCACTGTCATCCAAGAATAGGTTGAAGATGCTTCATGACAGGGTAAAAGTGACCAAATCCTTACAATTTATAGATTCACAATGATGCTTCTCTCTGAGGTAAAACCATGTAAATAAAATGAGTCCAGGATTTTCGTTTAATTTGTAACCTGTCTCCTTGTAGCCTAGGAGAGAATACCAAAAAAAAGAAGAAACAAAATCTATACCAATGCACAAACAAAGATCAAAATCAAGATCAATATTTACCTGTCTCTATCTGCTTGCTGAGAATGGTTTTCAGAACATCATCGTAAATGTTATGAACCAGGATAAAACTGCTGTAGTCAGCGAAAATGTACTGCTCAAACTGTTGCAGCTCCTAGACACAGAAAACCAGACAGTCCATGCTTTGTAGAATATAAAATATCAATAACACACGATAGAGTCAGACAGAGTGAAGTAGCAGCAGGTTGACCTACAGTTTTCCACTTGCTGTCCATCTTCCTGGTGAGAGTAGGCAGAGTGATCTCCAGCAGGGCTTCCTCGTACAGCCTCCTCTGGACTACCCTGCTGTCATAGTCCAGCTGCTACTCACACACACAAGCAAGATTTTTTGTAATACTCACTTTTGAGCAAAGATTGTATTGTATTTGTGGGGCACACTAGAAAACAGGAACAAGTTACTTATCACTGTGACAGGTTAGTTTACTTTGCTGTCTGAATCCGCAATTGAACTTGTAGTGTGTCAATTTGCAACTGACCCACATAAAAACACAACTTGCCAGTGACACAAATACTTTTTCTTTGTAGATTTCAAATAGTCTCTCAGGGCTTTCCAGGTTTAACAAGCTGCGCACTACACCTGCTACAAAGACATGTTTTTAGGGTTTGGGACCAGAGTCCAGGGTTCCCACTAGAATGCACACATCATTTTGTTTCAGTGTGTAACATTTTAATGGTGTATCTAAGCATATTTATTCCTTATTTTATGAAAATCACATATCTTTCATTTATTTGGATTTCTAAAATACACGGTCTATACAGTTCCTTCAGAAATCTTCTGATCACACATGATAGATTTTTTATTAAATAAAAATTTAATTCAAAATAATTAACTTATTTACCTTCAGCACTCTTTCTGTAGCCCTGTTCAACTTAACAGGAACCTCAGTGGGCTGCAGTCTGGCTGATGACTGGAGGAACTGTTCCAAGGTGTAGACAGCACTGTCCAGCAACTGTAACACACACACAGCAAACACTAAAAAACGGCTCACGTCAATCTTTTCTACTTTTAGGCTCCTTGAGAGGCCATGTCTATACTGAAGATTGTGCTTCATACCAGCTCCATCTCCAGACTTGCATAGTGAACCAGTCTATGAATGCTGCTCAATCCAAATCGCTCTTTTAAGGCTTCGAGTTTCTCTGTCAGGTTCTCCACCTGCTTGTAGCACTGATCTAGACGCATTGATCGTAGACTGGACAAGGCCTAAAAGAAATAGAGCAAATGCTTTCTGTCAGCACTTTTGAAAATTTGGGCAAGCAAAAACTTCAGACATCTTCAACTTCAAACATCTTGTGTTTCTTGATTTCAAATGAGACCCTCTTCAAGATGGCACAAAAGCGGCACAATGGGTGCCTTCCAAAAGTCTAACCTTAATGAAAATGTCCCAGCTGTGTTGAAACTACAATATGAGGAAGATGGAGTACAAAACGCCACACTGTGTTCTGTTTTATGGAGATTATGTAAATGAGAACAGCCTGTGAAAAATATCCCTTCATTACAAAGGCTGGCACTTTAAAGAAGAAGGAACATTTATGGCCAGATTTACTAACATCCATCCATCCATCTTCATCCGCTTTATCTGAGGTCGGGTTGCGGGGGCAGCAGCCTAAGCAAAGAGGCCCAGACCTCCCTCTCCCCAGCCGCCTCCTCCAGCTTATCCGGGGGAATACCAAGGCGTTCCCAGGTCAGCCGAGAGATATAATCTCTCCTGCGTGTCCTGGGTCTGCCCCGGGGCCTCCTCCCGGTGGGACATGCCTGGAACACCTCACCCAGGAGGCGCCCAGGGGGCATCCTTGTCAGATGCCCGAACCACCTCAGCTGGCTCCTTTCGATGTGGAGCAGCAGCTGCTCTACTCTGAGCCCCTCCCGGATGGCCGAACTTCTCACCCTATCTCTAAGGGAGAGGCCAGCCACCCTTCGGAGGAAGCTCATTTCTGCCGCTTGTATCCGCGATCTCGTTCTTTCGGTCACTACCCACAGCTCGTGGCCATAGGTTTACTAACATTTACTAACATCTTGCATGAAATCAAATGCAAAAAAACCCAAAACAAACAAACCCTAAAATCATGTCTTATGCCCATTGTGGTTGTGATAGTTGCTACTAGGAGAGTTTACTTTTAGAAGGGGTGATGTTATCAGAATGAATTCGTAATCTGCACGGATGGCTCAAAGTTGCTATTGCTCTTGTTACTGCTAAAACCTCAAACTCTTCACTCAGTCTTCACATTGAGTGTTTAGAGGCTCCTGGTGATATTCAGCTCTGAGCTTAACAAACTGTTGGTAAAAATTGTAAATATATCAAGAGGTTTGGAATGAAATGGAAAATGCAGCTACTGTACAAATAACATTTACATGATCTGCTCCACTTATGTCGACTGTGTTCATAATTGTCAGATAGTCCATTGTAGTAAATTATGGGAGTGTTTTCACCTCTGTTTTCATAAAGGATGGTGCACTGTATCCTATGTTAAAGGAAACGATAAAGGCAGCATTCAAACTTCTTTCTTCAGTATTTGGAGAATTGGAACAGCTCTTATTTTGGCTGCCACACAAATACTTTAGGGTAACGTCTCTCAGTTAGGAACCTTCCTAAGTAAAATGGACTACTGGAACTCACCCAAAGTCCCCTCTCACCTTCTTTGTCTCCTGTGTCCCTTCGTTTTTGTGTAAAAAGGCCGAATCCATCTGTGTTTTCAGCGTGCGCTGCATCCCAAGAATACCTCCGCTTATGTTCTCAGTAAGTGCTTCAAGGATGGAGGACATGTAGGGTGCTACAGACTCACTGCACACTTTCTCTGCCTCTTCACATACACATGCTGAAACAGATACAGATTCACAAAATGTGCACAAAAGCTGAACCATGGCTAGACGCTCAGTTTGTAGCTTAATATGGATTTAGCTGAGTTTAGCCATTAAAAACAGTCACTCATTTTCTTGGCATTTTCAGATGAGATTAGTCAAACAATGTGTACCTCTGACTTTTTGCTCCAGGAACAAGTGAGAGGACATTATCTGGTCCAGATTGGATCTGATGAGTGCCTGATTGTCTGATGCTGTCTCACGGCACTCCTTCTTCAGAGCCTCCAGACCTGCAGTCAGCTTTTCCAGCACCAACGTGTGGGTTGCTTGCACTGTCTATACATACGAACAAATTAATACACTGTGCAACAGAGAGATTAAAAACTGATGCTAAAACTGCCACACACAATTTGTTGGAACACGGGGTAAAAGATAATAGTGTTGTAGTTCAAAGATACTTGCTGTCAGATAATTCCCTTAATTCTGATAAGTTAGGTAGCATTCTGAGAAGATCAGATTGGTATGGTATCAGATTATATCATTTCTAAAGAAAGAAAAAGTCTTGAAGTTCACTTTAAAAAATGCTATTTTTTGACCACGTGGGGGCAGCATAACAAGGAACTTTTGCTTAAGATCCCCAGTTGATTACAATAGGGACTTTTGTAATACAAGGTTTATATTTAAATATGCCAATGACACATTACATTATCTTTAGACAGCTATCTAAATATTTGTTTACATTTTTGAACATTGTTCTAATTTGCATAAATGGCCATGGAGAAAAAGTGTAGTAAAAGAAATACCCCTATGTATTGTTAAACACATCTTACAAAGCAGCTCATTACCTCATATGTTCGCAAGCTGCTCAGAACTGCTTGATTAGATGATAATTCCTGTGAATGTTGCTTAATGCTTTGATCATCTTTTACCGTACCATTCAGTAGTGTTAGTTAGAATATTGCTAAATGCTACACATACATGCTAAACGAGTGACATAGTACTAAAACAATCCTGAACATTTCATAAATAGATAGACTCAGAATTTGCAGAGACTTGGTGTCATATTTTTACTTACTGCGAGCCATTGCCGTATCTTTTCAGTCTTCTTGCCTTTTATCCTGGACTGAAGCTGACTGTGTAACCATGGCAACACTTCCTCCATCACCTGGGAGGCAAGCACCTACATACACAAGCACACTGTTTATGGCTTTGTTTTTACAACACTTTGCATTTAATCATAAATTATTGCTAATCTCTGTCTTTTTTCCACAGTTTGTCTTTTCTGCTGTCTCCCTTCCCTACACTCTAACTGGTTGCAGCACAAGGAGGTTTTCCCTCCTTGTGCCTGGTTCAGGGAGTTTTTCCTTCTAACTGTCACCAAATGCTTGCTCGTAGTGGGACATCTGATTATTGGAGTTTTCTAATTCTTGCATGTTATTGTAGGGTCTTTAGAAAAAAAAGTGCCATGAGATAACTATTAATGTGATTTAGCACTATAAAAATAAATTGAACTAAAGTGAAATGAAGAACACAGACAGGCTTAAAGTTTTAATGTGTGTGTGTGTACAAACTTGTTCCTCAGTGCCCAGCAGCATTTCCCAGGATTCATAGCATCCTTTGTCTTGTCGGTAGAGTCGGAGGGCTCGTGCATATGCTTGATTCTCATATGATGAATTACACCACGGGTCTGCAGGAAGTAGGGATTTTGTTATTATTCTGAAAGAATCTGGTGGCATGCTCATCCTGTCCCTTTATTTTTGAAAGTTGAAATCAGTATCCCATTCTTATTAGAACACCCGTGGCTTAAAATGATCTACAAGTGTGGTAAGTATTAAAATACTTAATTCTTAGTATTTTGTCATTAGTCATTTTAGTTTGGTAGAAATTGTGCTGATCCTGTATCCTCGGTGGAGCCCTGACGTCAATATTCCATTCTCATTACAACACATCTGACCATTTTCACATCTCTAATTTTTTTTGTTCTTTTTTTCTTTTTTTTCTTTTGCTAATTCACTAAAAAACATGTCTTGTAGTGTAGTTTCCCTTGAGCTGTTTCAGATTTTTTTTTCTGCAGAAGATTAAGGAACAGAAAGTCATGAATCATATCCTGCTAAAAATTAAAAATAAATCAATTTTTTTTTAAAAAAACAGCATGCGGCCATTTCCTATTTGACTTTTGGTCAGCCTCAAAGCGATTCTGGTAAACCATCAGATATTTCAGGAGAGGAAGAGACATTTTACACATGTGATGCTGCTGACATCGACTGAAGATATAGTTTTGATTAGATAGCATAGATTTTACTTAAAAACATATAGACAACATCTTATCTCAAAGTATAGTCTTCACATACTTTATACAATATCCATTCTCTGTTGATTGATCTGCTAATTATATTGACAGTATTCACTAAATGTGTCTCTAGGGATTCGCTTAGATTAGCTCATAGCAGACTCTCTAGCAGCATGGTCTTTTCACCTGTTCCTCCTGCACTTTCCTGCTCATTGTGTCAGATGTTTACTTACTCCTTGGCCTACTTTAGTAACAATGATACTTGTAATTAAATGCCTATTTGCAGCTCTGGAGGCCAGGATCACTGAATTGGAGACCCCGTTTAGCCCCCTGTTTGAAAACCCTGACTGTCTGAGTCTGAGTGGTGTTCAAAAACTCTTCCACTCCAACTTGTTAATTAACCAAACACCCAGACAGAGTTTTAATTAATTTGAAAGCCTGGTTCTTAGCCTTAGCTGGAAATAGCAAAAAACAGTTTTACTTGTTGTTATCTGTCATCCACCTGGGCCTTGCTAAGTTTCTGAACGATTTCTCAGACTTTTTATCTAAATTATGTGCTCAGCTCAGATAAAATAATTGTTGTGGGTGATTTTAACATCCATGTAGATACTAAAAATTACAGCGTCAATTGGCTTCTTTTAAAATATAAAACAACCCACCCACCACTTTAATGACATTCTAGATCTTGTTCTGACATATGGCATAGAAACTGAACATTTAACAGTTTGTTGCGAAAACCCTGTCTGGCTCTTTTCCACAGCTTGTCTTTGTCCTGTCTTCCCCTCTACACCCCCAGCCAGCCACCGCTCTCCGAGTCTGGTTCCGCTGGAGGTTTCTTTCTGTTCCAAGAGTTTTTTCTTCCCACTGTTGCTGAAGCACTTGCTCATTAGGGATCGTATGATTCTTGTTGGGTTTTTCTGTTGTGATTTGGAACTATATAGATTGAATTGAATTGAATTGAATTGAATTGAATTGAATTGAATTGAATTGAATTGAATTGAATTGAATTGAATATGATGCATGTTTTTTTATACTCCTCAACCCACTGAGTGATTTTTTGCACCTATTGTTGTGATTTGTTTAAATTGAAATCAAATTAAATCTAATTGAATTGAAGACAGAGGTGAGCATAAAAGCAAAGCCATCAATCCTACTCTCCAGCCTTCATCTATGGTCACGAGCTCTGGGTAGTGACTGAAAGAATGAGGTTAAATATACAAGTGGCAGAAATGAGTTTTCTTCAATGAGTGGAAGACCCGACCAGGGACTTGAAGTAGAGCCACTGCTCGTCCACATCAGAAAGAGCCATTTGAGGTGGTTCGAGCATGTGACTAGAATGCCTCCCGGACACCTCCTAGGTGAGGTATTCCGGAAATGTCCTACCGCAAGGAGGTAGACCCAAGGACTCGCTCAGTTGGTTTGGATGGATGGATGGATGGATGGATGGATAGATAGAAATAGTTCTGTGTTTCAAATGATAGGTAGTCCCATCACTACCTATCACCCCTGAATTTGCTCTGACTAACATACCAAGTCTGCATCTGTGTCATTGCTAAATTCACAAAACAGTGTGCATTTTTTCTCACTGCAGCTACTGACAGGTTTCCTAATTTTAGAAAAGATTATGTAAAACCTAGTTTGTATGCACAAACACTAAAAATAATAGCTATCCAAACAATCTTCAATAATGATTGCAAAATTTCTTTCTAAAGTCCAATATTTAGACATCTGTAAATACCCTCCACATGATACTTTTAAACTCTCTTAATTTAATTTGCAAACCTGGCCAAAAAAATTCACCATTCCTTTAAAAGCCTTATCCTAGCTACCATGATGTGAAGGGCAGGGTAAAAACTGGACAGACTATTGTTTAATATTGTTACCATACCAATTTAAATTAAGTCTTCTAATTCTGCCAAGATGAGTGGTCAAATATCCAACCACAATTTGCCAGAAGCCTGTCAACAACTACCTGTTCAAGTTGTGTTTTATTTATAAGGATATGAGTGCATATATGTGTATTTCTCATCCTGCAGCATCTGGACTCCCCAGGAACCTACGCCAGGATCCTGTTTGTGGACTTCAGCTCTGCCTTCAACACCATCCTCCCAGACCATCTCCGAGACAAGCTTACCCAGATGAATGTGCCTGATCCCATCTGCCGGTGGATCACTGACTTCCTGACGGACAGGAAGCAGCATGTGAGGCTGGGAAAGAATGTCTCGGACTCCCGGACCATCAGCACCAGCTCCCCTCAGGGCTGTGTTCTTTCTCCTCTGCTCTTCTCCCTGTACACCAACTGCTGCACCTCCACCCACCAGTCTGTCAAGCTAATCAAGTTTGCAGATGACACCACCGTTATTGGGCTCATCTCTGACGGGGATGAGTCTGCCTGCAGGAGGGAGGTTGAACGTCTGGTGTCCTGGTGCAGCCACAACAACCTGGTGCTGAATGCCCAGAAGACAGTGGAGATTATTGTGGACTTCAGGAAGCACACAGCCCCACTCCCCCCCATCATCCTGACTGACACCCCCATCACCTCTGTGGACTCATTCCGCTTCCTGGGTACCACCATCACCCAGGACCTGAAGTGGGAGCCCACCATCACCTCCGTCATGAAGAAAGCCCAGCAGAGGATGTACTTCCTGAGGCAGCTGAAGAAATTCAACCTGCCAACACGGACGATGATGCAGTTCTACACTGCAATCATCGAGTCCATCCTCACCTCCTCCATCACCGTGTGGTACGCTGGAGCCACTATCAGGGACAAACAGAGACTGCAGCGTGTTGTGCGCTCTGCTGAGAAGGTGATTGGCTGCAGACTCCCATCTCTGCAGGACCTGTACACCTCCAGGACATTGCGGCGTGCAGCTCGGATCTCAGCTGACCCTTCTCACCCTGGACACAGTCTGTTTGACCTGCTCCCCTCAGGCAGGAGGCTCCGGTCCATTTGCACCAGAACCTCTCGCCATAAGAACAGTTTCTTCCCCTCTGCTGTTGGACACATGAACAATAACCGTATGACTGTTCCCACCACTAACACATGACCCTACGCTGTGTCACTGCATCATTTCATGTTTGGCACTGATCACCACCTGCTCTCATGTATATATCTTTCTACGTAGCACTCTTAATTCTTATTCTCATGTATATATCTCATGTATAGCTCATGCACATATCTTTCTACGTAGCACTTTTAATTCTTATCCCTACTTTTATTTTTTCATGTCTATTTAAGTGCTATTTATGACACTATGTTTGCACTGAAGCACCGCAGCAATTTCCTAATGTTGTAAACCTGCTCAACATTTGGCAATAAACCCCCATTCTGATTCTGATTCTGATTCTGATTCTGATTCAGCCTGTATGATCCTGTGTGGATTAGAGAAAATGCAAATTCGTAACTCAAATGAAAAAAAAAAGAATTAAAACCCCCTAAATTAACAAGATATTCATGCCTATTCATGGCATTCATGAGTTTATGTAAACATCTGCCACAACTGGCAGATTGCAATAATCTAAAATTAACATTATGTGTTATATATCATACAAGTGTACAGTGGGGGCAGAAGTACTTCAGGTAGGCTAGCTTTTTTTTTGAAGGGACACCAGAACATCATCAAATGTTTAAAAAAGTCAAAGACTTAAAATTCCAAGGAAGTGTTTAAATGAAGAGATATGGTTATTGGAAGAAGAGGTTGATATATCACTTTGAGATGAATAAAATCAACAGCACTGTAAGTGCTGTGGCTTTACACATCTAAAGTGAAATAGACAGTGGCGGCCATCTGTGTGCTATTTCCTGCTGAGGATATCTTTGTGCAGATATGATGTGCTGTGTTTTTGCAACCTTATAGCTTAAAGTGAAGGGGTTTGTTTTTTGGTTTGTATCCTAGCTAACCACACAGGAAGTCAGCAGCATTAATATTTATATCTGTCACCCGGGCAACTGTCACAACATGAATGACAAACTAAAGACGAGCCAACCAGAAGCAGGACTCTGCTACAACAATTTGAAATATTTTACACTCACATCTGATATTAGACAACTGTAAAAAGTATTTGGATTTAATCAACAGCATGTAGCGCTGCACACCATGACAAAATATTGAAAATCCTTTTGAGCTCTTAGCTCAAAAATATTAGCAAGGACTACCAGCTTAGGAGAGAGTTAGAAAAATTCAGAGCTACTGAGCAAGAAATGGACCCAAACTTGTTGTTGACCTTGTAGTAGTTAGAATGATGCATACTTTGTAAAACTGTTTTCATTTGATATGAAAACACATAATTCTGAACTAGGACATCCTCAGAAATTAGAAGTCATGCACATAGACAAATTTCACTTGGTCATACCAACATATAAAGACCTTTTAAAGACCTTTGGGGAGAAAAAGTGAGGTAACTGATGGGTCTGGTCATTAAAAAAAAAAAAATTTGAATATTTCAAATAATTTGAAAGCGAGCGATTCATCTTTTAAAATTATCTACACGTGTGATGGCTTTGACTGCTTAGGGAATTTCTTAGCTTGCAGTGATTGTGCAAGCAGGCATTTGACATTGTTTTGTCTTTATTTTGTGTTATTACCCTGCACATCTGAAGCAAGGCTAAGTGGGCCACGGCAAAAGCATACATATGAGTGTTTACCAAGGTTGCGATGTCTAATACAGGTCTTCAGGCCAGACAGGAAGTCATCTCGCTCCTCCTCTTGTTGAAACAGGAAGCAGGTGTGGCCTGTGTAAGCCAAGTGGAGATGCACAGCAAATGCATCTGGATTAACGACTGCAGAAGAAGAGTCCTCCTTTCCTCCTGGAAACACAAATAAAACAAAATTACTGATGTGGGTTTGACTGTATTCTCTATTAATTTGTGTCCAACAAAGAAGCTTTTGTTTATGTTACACTCATAGCCTCTGACTGTTTAGTAAATTATCTATCATGTAATTAAGTGACTAAAATCGAATCTATCAGATACTGGACATCTTCAAAGATACTGGTGACCTTTTTTACTTAATAATGATGAATCATGGTATTTGATTTGACAGATTGCTATGAAATCAAATTCCAACCCAGCCTGAACATGTGAATTTGAGGTTCATTAGAGATTCTGTTGAGCTTGATCATCTTTAGCAACTTTCCACATTTTCTTCTATTCTGATCAAATTGTCCTGTTATGTGAGAGGAGTAGTACACACTCTTGTATAAAATCTTGTGTTTGACACTTAAACGGGTCAACACAATCTGATTTTTCAGACACCTCATTATTGTAAATTTCATTTACAATATTATAACCCTTTTTTTATTTAAATGTTCTTAAAAAAACACAAAAAAACTAAGGACATTTACAAGTGGTTTCGAACAGTTGATAGATAGCGTGTATCACTGTATAATCTTACTTTCCTCGATGTTTCCTGTTTCCATTTTCAAAATATCTCTCTCCCTCTAGAAGAATTTAGTACAATCTAGGCTCTAATACAAATGACGGACTGCACTGGTGGATCCTTTATGAAAGGAAAGAAGAAAATGCTATACCATAAGTCAATGTGGCACAGTGTTAGACATTCACAAACACAAGCAGTCAGCATCACTGATTGGTAATCATCCTAATGGCTGCGGTGTTTTCCGCCTTTTATCACAGCTTGCTAAACTTCAAATATGTTTTGAACAGTCAGGAATTTGTTAAATCCAGCGGAAAACCTTGAAGGTTACACTTCTTTATTAAAACCTGCTTGTTATCAAGTTGTTGCCTTGTGTGAGGTGTTCTACATATATAAATAATTATCTGTACTAAAATGATTAAGTTTGTAGTGTTACTCAGTTTGCTGTACTCATACCCTCATCATGGAGCATTTCCCTACTGACAGTCGTTTCATTTTCATTAACTGACTTCAGAGATGCTGAGTTAAAGCAGATCATATCTTCATTGGGAAGACAAACTATGAGTAGTATCAGTCATGCTGTTGCACATCTAAAATACCATTCAGTATTCCGGCACAGGTTTTCTCAAGGTGAGCTCTTGATTCGTCATCTTTGGTGAAAACAATTGCCCCCGTCAGCTGGAGGACCATCTTAGCCACACATCCACGGTTGAAAGTCTAAAAATTGGAATCACAGATAGCAATGTTCATCACAGGATGCAAATCATTTAGACTGCAAATTTCACGTGCTGTGTGTGAGCGTATTAATCTGTGTGTTACCTCCATGCCATCATGTATCTCTGCTTTGTAGTCTCTTCGCAGAATTATGTATCTCTCTCTGCATTTCTTTAGCTGCTCATCCCAGTTGGAGAACTTAATGCTCCCTTCATACAGCACCTCTTCAGGAGCATACTGAGGCTGTACAGTGCACAAACACACAAGCACACACTGGTTAAACTTTAACATAATTAGAAATTTAGACCAATTTTCCAGCTGCATCAACATGCATAAATATATATGTAGTCGAATTGAGTTTGAAAAGATTTAACTCTTACCCTACGTGTAAGCAATAACCCCCTCCCCTCTCTCTTAGGCTCCACCTCCTGGTGTAAGTGTCCAAGGTAGGCTACAGAGTACTGCTGACGGTAAAAGTCACTGAAGCTCTGGAATGTACCATCAACCAGTCCTGGATGCATACAGAAACACAGCTTGTTGTTGGGATTATTATTATTTGATGTTACTCAAACTTGTTTAGAACAATTTTTTTCACAATGACACATATTTACATGTGTATTCTTTTATAACAGTAATCAGCATAGTTTTCCTCTCTCTGTGCATTGTTACACAGATATTAAAAACTCCATGATATTAAAAACTAATTTCAAAACGAGTGTTTGAACTTATACATACCCTTCACTGAAGGAAACCATTGCAAGTGCAGAGTAACTGGGAATGGTAAATTTAGTTTTAAGGATGGAAATGTACATATTAAAGCTGCACTTGTCAATATTTTTATACTGACAAATGTTTAAATTGCTAGGCCAATGTCTTTCATAGCCTGCTTCAGATATGGGCTACATAACTTAGCTAGCTTGTTCAGCATGTTAAAGTCTGTCTGACATTCAGGCATGGACCAAATGTAAGTGTTATTTTAAATTTCATTAAGAGTTAGTGAGACACCACACTGTTATATACATATTGTTGAAAATAATCCTGATGTTATTGAGCTGAGCATAAAATGCACAAGATACATGTGGAATTATAATGTTGTGCATGCTCGTTTATTAATATAACTACGTGAGTTAAAGGGTCACAGGTGAGAATGTCATTGTAGTTAGATAGCACTTAAAGGCATAGAACACAGCACTGCATGAATGGCTGTAAATGGTTACAAGACGATTCACCATTCAAATCCAGCCCAGCAAGTCTCTCATTGTGACTTTTATGGGAAGGCAGTGTGACCACTAAGACATCAGGCTGACATAACTCCAATATCTCTGTCAGCTCACTGTTTTGATAGTCATCCCTAACCTTTTTTTAATGTTTTGAGCAAAAAACTTACAACCGTAAGGTAAGGTATAGAAATTGCCCTAGCACTGGACTCCAGGGAGATTTTTTTTAAATTTAAAACACTTAAAGCTGCACAATAATATTCAATATTTAGTATTTACTGTTATATACTCATAGATTATCGATCTATCTACCTATATAT